TATATATATATTTCAGCCACAGTCAGAATTTAATTGGATAGATGCAAAAGCCCATGTCAATTTATTGAAAAATGATACATATATAACTCGACAAATTTATAAAATATCAGCAACGTAATAAATCTTATCAAAAATAATTTATTGTTATTTTTATCAAATATATATAATTTGTTTTTATTACCATAAAATACTTTTAGATAGAGGTGCATCTTAATGTCAAAAATTGGGGTTTTTTTAATTATTTTTTCATAAATTTGAAATTTATTGTAATTATGATTCCATTTTCTTTAATATGTAATAACAAAATTGAATTTTACATAAAAATTAATAAAATTACAAATTTACTTTTGAGCTATTTGACATGTTTTAGGAAACCTTTATCTTTTAAAAACAAAATTTAGGAAACTCGTATTTGTTTCCTGGTGGGAAGCAACTAGCTCCCCCTCATAATTACCAACTGATATTTCATTAATATCAGCAAGGATTTGCTACCGCCATTGCCCATTACTATAAATTCCACTGAGATTTTCACTTGATTGTTCAAAAGAAAACTCTTCTCCTCATCATTTTTCTCCAATGGCTTCCGCTATTTACTACTGCAATGATCTGCAATATATTGTTTATCAACCTGAGACTGAACCCGAAATCTTTGACCCCACTCTCCCATTTGTCCAAATTGAATTAAACATCGCCCTTGAATTTGGATTCAGGCGACATTATTGCTTAACCGATCAGTTTGTCGATCTTGACGACATGTTACTCTGTCAAGAAACCATTCGTTTTGATCTCCAAGCTTTGAAAAACTATGATCGGATTCACCAAATCCTTGGTCCCATGCTAGTAAGACTCAGAATGAACCCCAACGCTCGTTCGTACCGTGCTATCATCAAAGAAATCATCCGACAAGGAGTTAGTATCGAAACCTTGGAGTCCAACAAGGGACGTCAAGTCTTGCCTTTGCAAGCAGCGCTATGTGGAACGTATGTGGAACACGTAAACGAGGAAGAGGAGGTTTTGATCGAAAGAGCTCTGGAAGAATCGGCTTCGGAGTTTGAATCAAGCAGCTATAACATGGTTCCAGCCAAGGAGTCATCAGTCAAGAAGATGCTGAAGAGGGTTCGAGTGGAAGCTGCAGAGTGTGATCAAAAAGGTGAAGAAAAAATCAAGAAAAGGCGTTTGGAAGCTGAAAACTGTGTTATATGTTTGGAGGAACTCAAGGTTGGATCAGATGCCTCTCGGATGCCATGTTCTCATATTTTTCATGGTGACTGTATCGAAGAGTGGCTGAAGCAAAGCCACTATTGCCCTTTATGTCGGTTTGAGATGCCGACATAGTGAAGAGCTTTTGTTCGTTTCTTTTTCTTGCTTCTAGTCGATCAGATAAACCTCTTCTCATGTTGGACAACTTGTTAATTGCTTTTGAAGAGGTTGTCTTTTCTTTTCTTTTCATTAGGTTTTGGATTTAAGCTGAGTGTACATGATGGTAGTTTGCAGTACATGGAATGAGTATAGATTACTTTTTTCTGGTTTTGTGTGTTTGCTTTTTAGTTTTTTTAATGGTTGTATCTAGCTTTGATCTGTTTTTTGATATATTTTCTTGTACTTCTCTGATGCGTTACTAAACTGATAAATATTATTGTGATCTGTTATTTTCTCCATCTCTTTCATATCTAATTAAGTTCTATTCCAGTTAGGAGTAAGCTCGGAAGGAAAGGCTGAAATCAATGCTTTGTACCAATGAAATAGATGCTATGAAAATTCCAGAAACATTTAACATGGCATTGTAAATCATCCATGTTCTATATAGATTATGTCTGTCTGTCTGTCTGTAGCCTAAGCTTCTGCTGAATGATTGGTTATTTGTAGTGAGGCAAATTAGCTTCTAACATGACAAACAAAACTTTTTGTTTTATCGGCTAATATCTACAATTTGAAATACAACAGAATATTTAGACTGGTATGATGGAGGAATATCTTATGGCCAGTAACTTTCTGCACACTAGGAGCTTGCATTTAACAGCTTAGATATCTAATGCGTTATGGTCAAGTTGTTCTGTTCCAAGGGTTGCATTTAAGTTGAGTTCTTTCAACCTAATTCCTTTTTCACCTGTGCAACTTGAAGTCTTGAACAATACCTGGTTCTTGAAGTAGCTTGAATTGGTAGAAATCAAAATGGTGCTTTGCTTGTGTGAGAAGACAAAACATATGTTCTTCACATTCTGCATCAGAATTCCTACATTTAGGCTTTAGTCAGCTTGTTTATTGCAATGCCTATATTCATTTTACACTTGAAATTTGCCACACATCAGCATTATTCAGTCTTTATGCTGTAATTTCTGGGAATCCTATATAATATGTAGCCTAGCCTCCATATTTCTGGAAAGTTAATGTTATCTTATCAGCTAGTTTTAATTTGCTGGTGTATCCAATTCTTCTGTGCTATCATCTGAAGGCAAGCAGAAAGGAAAAAAGTAACTTTAATATTCAACAAAATCCTTAACAAAGACAAAATCATCCTTATTTTTTTTGAAGGAGTTTCATGAGACCTTAATACCAAGTAACTCAATAGCTACACAACATAGATTAAGATATTTTCACAAAAGTGTTGTGTACTATCATTTAATGAAATAAATATTCATTTTGCTGTAAATTTCTTCCTGTTTCATATGGTATTAAAGCTGAATGCTTACAAGGCACATGGAATCATCTTTTTCATTCATCATATGCTTCAGAATCAATTATTTATTAGGCAATAGAAAATGCTTCCAAATAAAAAAAAATCTTGTAGCATGTATGTTTTCATGGAGTGAATGTCTAAAGGTTAAGCGCATTCTTCCCAACCAGAGAGAGAGGAAGGGAAAGGCTGAGCTCAAGGGAAAACAATGTACTATACCTCCAAGGTCAAATGCAAAGAGAAATGAGCAGTTGCAGACTCTGATTTGAAATAGATACCACCAAAAGGAAGAAGGGCAGCAGACAAAATAGGGGACAAAGAAAAATAACCCAGAAACATGGTAGTAGTAGAAATGCATGGAGGGCCTAAAGTCCCCCTGGGAACATATACATTCTAATGTAGGCAATATTGAAGCAGTACATAATAATTATGCAAGATAAAACTTAAAGCACAGTATCTGGCAAGCCTATGAAAAACGAAAATCAAGAAAAATAACAGCAAGCAAAAAAGAAGGCACAGAACAATGAAGCAGAAAGAAACCAAAAAAGATATTCCAGATTACAATGTTGTCAGTAGATGGGGAGGCACAGGAGAAGGAGATGGAAGGAGAGGGAGAGGGAGAGAGAGAGACTATAACTATGTGGCATGAACATGTGTGACAATGATGGTTTCATCAAACGGGACATTGAATTACATAAAAGGATGAAGTAGCTTACATGGTACTGCAAAAACCCGCCAATACAAATGTGTTTCCAACATTTCCTGCTAAACCAGTACCAACTATCACCCAGAGTTCCCCCAAACACTTCAGTAGGGCAATTAGTTAAAGGGTCCTTGAAATAGCCCTGGTGAAGTGGTCAGGGGAACTCCAGGGAACAGCTGACATCCCCTTTCTCATGTTACAGTTTTTTCGGTATGTTAATGCACAGAAGGTTTACTGTATATATAGGCAAGGTTCACTAAACTTAGGGGCTGACACAATTAAAAGTGGTGATCTGTAGTTTGACAAATGATTGGGGTGTGAGTGAAATTCACAGAGTCCATGTCGCCAGAATTGAACCTGGTCAATATTTGAGGGAAAGTGAAGGGTGTTAAAGTAGAACCATAGAAGCTAGTGGACAGAAAGCTTTCTGGCTTCCTCGAACTCTTTCATCTCTGAGGTTTATACTTTTCAATTTTTTCTTTCCACTTTTCATACGGGAAAAAACCTTTTCAAATTTATCAGACCACACCTCATCTCTGATGTACATACTTAATTTTAATTAATAGGTATTATCTGAAAAATTATTTTATAACATAATATTATATAAAAAATAAAAAAAATAATTATTACAAATAAAATATTATTTTATGTAAAACAATTAAAAAGAGT